TAGTATGGAGTATTACCAAAGTCTATACAGTCAGAGAATCACACCAAGCACAAATTGAGAGTTCCGATTGAAAAACAATTCTAAGGACATTCGCTTAGCTTTTTTCAGTTTTGGCCCTTTTAGTCTTTCTTTTGCAAGTTTTGCGGCATTTCAATAATTGAGGGACTATACTTTCCACTCTTGTCATGTCCAAGAAATGGGCAAATAAGTAAGAAAAAAGAGTAGGCCTAACACATGGGTTTGGGGATAAAAAAACACACACACAACTATACGTTGAATTGTTTGATTCCACCCATCCGGTTCCCAAGGGGTATATAACCAAAGTTTACACAGTCAGAAAATCACATCAACTACAAATTCTGTTTTCCAAAAATCCAGAAATGACCCATTTCAATTTTCTCTTTTATGGCATTTCAAACGATCCGTGAGATCAAATTTCCACCCTCTTTACGGAATGGTTATGGGTGGATATAGAAAAAGGCAACACTGATTTTTAGGATTCACGAGAATTAAGGCGTGCAATACTCTTTAGGCTGTTCCTATAGAGAACATGTTTAAATTTCAATATTTTCTTAGTCACAAATGTCTCGGGAGATACACTACTCAAAAAAGTTAAGGACTACTTTTTTCTTAATTTGTAATTATTTTCCAAACAATGAACGAGGTCTAGTACTTTCAGTGTTTGTTTGTCTAGATGATGTTCTCATTGGAAAAGAAAAATTAAAAAAAATTCAAAACATCAAATGCACATTTTCAGCAGTAAAATATCTCGTATAAAAAGAGTATACACAAATAAAAAGTGGTCCTTTTTTAATATTGTATTTCACTGCTTTTAGCAGGCATCGTTCTTTTCGAATTTTTAAACCAGGTCTAAAGTCTCTAACGTTTGAATTAAAGGAGTTCTGTAGCTTATATTAAACATGTGGATTTCATTTTTTTTCGTTGCGCATGGGCATGTGTAAAGGAGGATACTCTCAGTAATATTAATGACAATTTCACCAGGACAACCGACTTTAGTCGCGCGCCCAATGGCACAGTGATCTTTCGTTAATAATTGACTTTGCTGCACATGTATTTGTTTTGATCGCCCTGTCACATTATTCTCTAGACTTACCCGCGGCTTATCATTTGCTTGAACTTCAAACTTCAAATATCAGCTCATTATTCCAGGGATTTAATGGCTTGGCATCATGATGACTCCATGGAATATCAGTAATATGCATTATCACTCATGACCCAAATCACAAACAGAGAGAATTTTGTTATCAAATAAAAAAGACAATTACGGGGGCGAAGTCGCTTGACTTTATTTTCGGAGTTACCACAAATTAAGAGATCGAATTCAGACAGTTCACTGTTTTGAAACGATTAATTTCTAAATATAACCTTGATAATATTGATTCGAAATCGACTTAATGAAAATGGAAATGTTTGGGGAAAAGCGTTCATGTTGCCACTCCGTTATTATGAACATAGATGTAGACACAGATTTTCGTGGATGATGTGAAATTAACAGACTGTATACGAAAATTCATGAGCTTTGCTTACTGTTGTACTTGTGATTAGGATGGAGATATTTTTTAAATACCTGGAATTTCAGTGACATTAACATCACCATCACGATTTAACTAAAATGGATATACATGTACACGTACAACCAAACCGAGAAAAATGTACACTGCAGGCGAAACTTTTATGCAACTTTATTTCCAAGTGTTCACATCCTTGACTTCCAACTTGAAAGAACAGAAGCCCTAAGTCGTCATTTCTTTGGAAATTACCATTATCAGGCACAGGTTAATTTAGCCTGACATAAGACAAAAAGAGGGCCTGCATCGTAAAAATGGACGTATCCACTGTAGATATAACGGGTCTTCAAAGCACATGGCTTATATTGGACAAGCATTATTCGCTTCACAAATTTTTATATTGCACATGTGGTCTTTTTCACTGAATAATTTCAGTACTGATCTTGTCACATCTTTGATCTAATCATTGATATAGTCATACGTCTCGAGTGTACGTTTCATTTTGCTTACTCAGTTGGTTCGTTTAATGCTGTACTTCATTAATTCATGGAAATTTTAATTCCTTGTTTTGTCATTTTATACCATTCTCTGTTATTTAAATTTTCCAACGCTGATCTTTTTTTATTATTTATATAGTATTTTAAGTACAGTTGGTGGATGATGCTCATGTGTATGACTTGGCCGACTTCTTTTAAATTCTACGGTGTTGTTATTTCATGTATATTTTACTCAACGTTTTGGCTTGAATCTGTTTCATGATTTTTATTTTATTTTTTAGTATTTATTTTTCAGTTTCATGTTGCACATTTGATTGTGTCATGCTTCAGTTTTATTGATCCTGTCATACTTGGCATTTTACTTTCTGGTTATATCATTATTTTTCATTCTATTCAATTCCATTTTCTATATGTTTTCGCGTATTATTTTCTCCCTCGAAACGTGAATAAGTTCATGTTATTATATCTGCCATTTACCTCTTGATTATCTTGATTGATTTTTAACAATCAATATTTTCGAACTGACGAAATTGCATTAATTTTTCTATTGTTTTGCTTGTTTATTACTATTTAGAAATTGTTTTAGTTATATTTTAGAGCCCCTAAGAAAAGCAGTTAAATAACGGATAAGGTTATCCTGTAGAAATAAAACAGTTAATAATGAAAAATATTAATGAAAGTGCATTACTTCATGTTAGTTAATATTTTGCACAGCATTTGTGAATACCATTGATATCAGTAATCACAATAGAGCAGAGTACAATTAGTTGCCACGTAACAGACAAGCATTGATTTTTTCACATATTTTCATAATGTATTTTCCACTTTAACACTACATTAATTATTCATTTTAGTTAACTTTGCACAGCATTTTTCATACAATTAAAGTTAAACATTTCACAATTGCAAAAAGAGAATTTTTATAACTGTCAGTTGTTTTTAAAGCAATGCATTCGCCGTTGATGAATTGCTATTCTTTTAATCGCTGAGCATAATTCGTATGAAAATAGAATTAAGACTGTCTTTAGGCAAACGGGCAGTAGCACCATGCAGGAATATCTCTTTTTGACTATGCGTGGTTCTGAAAAGACGTTCTCTGTTCCGCAAACTCGTTTTGTGGCAAATCTTGCCAGTAAGTGTTAAGTAACATTTAGAACTTGTCCTGGAGTTAGAAAAAATGGTATGGTGCTCAATTTATTCATGAAAGGAGAGGTGCCTAGATGTGTCTACACCATACCAATTCATACTCGACTGTACTGCGGCTTCGTTTCCAGCGTTGGCCCTGAACGAATTTAGTCTCGTTTTTGAGACTGGCAGGACAACGGTGATAATTTCAACGGACGAGAGCGAACAACGGCCTATTTTAAAATAAAGCATACGACATGGCTGGACTTTGGACTGCAAAAGTAGATCCTGCTTGTTATAAAATGTAGTCGGTTTCTTTGTCGTTTTTTTTCTTCCCTCATTGTCTAAGACACATACAGGTTCCAGTATCCGTGTGTGCATTTTACAGCAATTTACATTGCATTCAGTAACAGCAATCATAATAGTTTGGATTTTGGACCGGCCTGTACTCTTCCTAATTACCTCATCATCTTGTTAAAACAGAACGCCAAATTTGAAGTGGAAATTGAATTACGTTGTTCGGGATTTCGTTTGCTTCCAGGCCTTAATCTCGTTTTTCTTTGACATCGTCACAAATATAATTACTACCTTTCATCTGTATGTAGGCCAAACTTGACCATTGAAGGACTTGACTGTCCAGAGGGTCTTCCCATTAGCCTTTTCCTCGTCCTGATCTTCACCCATACCCCGTTGACGTACATTTCATATTTTTCAATGCACACTTCTTCAGTGCTACACTACAAAACTGCAGTGTTAAATTTAACATTCCCGTTACCAGAGGACTACAAGACCACTTTTCCACTGGTGTTAAAATTTGGGTGTTATTTGGTGGTACTTTTAACACCCTCCAGTGCATTGTAACACATATAGCCTATAGAGGTGTACAACGCAACACACGTGGTGTTTAGCATGCACGAGTTACTCTCACTGAAAAAACATTCATACCGACCATTGACCTTTGCGCTCAACTGTTGTCAGGTGACAAAGCATCTTGTGTAATGCACCTACTGACCCATGAAGGATCAGCTGGGACGGTGATAAGATCGAACACCTACAAAAGCGTTCGACCCGCAGCCACTGACCTCCACAATGGCGCCTATTGAGCTGATGGTACGTACATGTATATTGAACTCGAAATTATATTTTCAAGATTGATCAACAAGTTTCATGCAGTCTCAATGGATCGTATGAATAAAAAGTAGCATTTGCTTTTACTACCACTTTTGAAACATTTACTCGTGTTTGTATGAATAATAATGAAGCAAATGCTTTTACTTTAGTGCAATTGCTAATGGTATTTACTTTTCACTCTTTCAGCTTCTGCTTGACAATAAGCAGTTGCTTCATTTTGTATGAATAAAAATCAGTAAGTTCTACAGAATTGGAGTATTTACATTTTTCAAGACTGGGTCAGGGCACGCTTGAAAACGAGGAGCATTTACTAATGTTCAAAATGGCAGCGAAGGGAAAAGCTGTAAGCCCGTATGCCTTTTGGAGGGAATTTCAAGAAACCAGATGCAGGCAGTTGTATCGGTTTGAGAGTGGCAGAGCAATTTTCTTAAAGTTTTTGCGATCAAAATTACTGCCATCTTGCTTATCTGCCATGCTGAGGTCTCATGAGATACGGCACCGTGCTGCACTGTGTGTGTCTGCACGTGCAGACAATGGAAGCCCTTTTATATCGTGCAAAACCGTTAGGCTGTGAAGTCAGCCACAAGCATAAAGCATTTGCTACTATCTGAACAAGCAGATGCTGAATAGTAAGCGAAACATTTTATTCCTACAAATTCAAGCATTTGCTTATTCTTAATGCTTTTACTCCTCAGTAAATGCTTTTGCTGTTTGCTTGAACTTCATATAGCTTTTGCTAGTTTTTATTCATAAGACCCAATGTTTTGTAATATGATTCAAAACTACTTTAACTCTGACCCATTCTTTCCATTGTTACAAAACAGGCTTAATTTTTTTCTGAAAAAGCTGGGCTGCCGCTATTTTGGATACAGTGCATCGCAATGGTGATTCATAGCCGTAATTCGAAATTCCTGAGGCAATTATTGCTACATCTATTTGCAAATAAGAGGCGAAACGTGATATTGCTATATACTATAGCAAGGCTTTGATCACAAGTTCCGACTGGGCTCCCTTAGTTACGCTACTGCTTTTGAAGTTTATCGTATGTAAGTTGCTCTAATTTTATTGGTCACAGTTTATTTAGAACAATTTTTCGACATGAAAGCTCTGATCAGTGAACTCAAAACTACCTCTTATGGAATTCTGAACAAACAGCGTCATGTGCTGGGATGGTCAGTTGAGAGTTATAAACATTCTATTTGTGTAACATTTTTACTTCACAGGTCCTTCTGATAAACCTTCCTCGAAGCCAGCCCCGCTTGTGATGCCCAACAAGTTAATGTAAAAGGTATGGTTATTGGATGTACAGGAAACTTGAATCTTTTCGCGATTAATATCTTTCACTCAATTTATCTCAATTCAGGTTGAAATTATATACACGGTAGTTAATGTCCGGCGATTTGAATCGTTGAACTTCAATCCAACGGAATTTGTAGGAAATATCAGTGGAATGGGCTTTTGAGTTAACAACGATGCTATAATTAACCAGACTATATAGATCGTGGGTGAACATAAAAAAGTACTACATGTATTTTACTATTACAGCCTACTCCACAACACGCGTCCACTCTGAAGTGTTCAGCTGGTCTGTATGTGCGAGATGGCAGAGGACCTCCAACGAGTGTTTCTGTGGGGCGCTCCCAGGAGCATGTCGACAGCGTTTCTGAAGTGTCTGAGTTACGTCGACGGGATTCAAATTGTCAATCAGCCCTACGCTTCTGCGCACTTCGTTGGTCCCTTCGCTGAGCGGTCTCTGCCCAATCCGAACGACCAGATTAGCAGAAAGATTGTAGCGGAATATGATAGGGTACGGAATGAATGTGAAAGATCAGACGTGAGGGGGATAGCCCCATCGGTGATGACACACCAGTGGATCCGAGATCATCTCTTAGAAGCCCCTTACCCTGACAAGAAAGTTCTACTTTGCCGAGACCAAGCCCAATATCTACATGGCAGATATGATATTCTGCCCCAAGGCTTCAAGTACAGTTTCCTCATTCGCCATCCTTGTAAGTTGTTTCTTTCGTTGAAGAAATACCTCACTGCTACCTTTGGCGATTTCCCCGACTTGCGGGCTTTGCCCCCATTAGCTGTCCCTTCTGGATACGGCATCAAAGAACTCTTCGATTTAGTGGAATACGTCCGAGAGAACATCGACCCTCAGCCCACCATAGTGGATGCCGACGATCTGCTGCAAGACCCGGCAGGTATCTTAGCCGCTTACTGCGCCAGGATGGGTATGCCGTATTCAAGCAAGTTGTTGTCTTGGGAAGCAGGTGATGACATAACCAGCTCCTGGATTATGAGTAGAGAAGTCTCCGTTTCCAGCAGTTCTCAGGGCTTCTACAAGCGTGCTTTTGAGAGTCAGCGATTTGAGAAACCCACTCCCGTCCCGGATCTCGGAAGTTTACCGGAAGACGTAAGGGAGTGCGCCCAGTTCAGTATGGAGTATTACCAAAGTCTATACAGTCAGAGAATCACACCAAGCACAAATTGATAGCTCCGATTGTAAAAAAAAAAAAATTCTAGGATTGTCCGCTTTGCTTTCCTCGAATTTGGGGTTTTTTCTGCATCTTCTTTCAACGATTGAGGAACTAGTATTGCCACCCTTGTAATATCCCAGGAATAAACAACATAGTTGTTTTAAAGGAGTAAAACATGCACTTGGGGATTCAAGACAACATGCATGTAGAATTGTTGAATGCCCCACTTGTCCTTGGGTTCCCAAGGGGTATATACCGAAAGTCTACACAGGCAGAGAATCACAACAACTACAACTTCTGTTACTAAAATTTTTTACTGCTATAGAATTATGACTTTTTACTCCATTTCTTGGTTTTGCGGCATTTTAGACGATCGATGAACTGAAATCTCCAACCTTGTCGAAGAATGGTTATGGGTGAATATAGATATCATGCATGCTACACTTCACGTTGTTTTAAAGGAGAGGATCAGGAGAGGGAGAGTTTATTTTCATGTCGGCGACAAATGAAAATCCCAAGTACATCAAAATCATACATGCCTAGTGAAATCTGTACAACAATTAATTGGAACTAGTGTATTAAGTTTGATAATTGTTGCTATACTGAAGATGATAGTTGTTGCTATATTTCAATCTTTTACATTTTAGTCAAAATTATTTCAGGAGATATTTCATTGATTTTAACATGTATCGTTGTTTTTGAATTTAAGCTACAGACAATATGAAAAAGGCTCACAAATAGTCTGGTCTCTCACCTGAAGCTCGGGAGCTTTACATATGGATATCCTTTTTTCTTTTTCGCATGGGCATGCGTATAAAGGGAGGACACTTTCAGAAGTGCATGTATTCGTCACAATTTTTGCCAGGAAAGACCGACTTTAGTCACACGGCATAATGGTCTTTCGTTAAATATTGGCTTTGCTAGATAGGTTTTGGCTGTTTGTTCTATTAGTCTTTGAAATTATCGGCGGCTTATCTTCTGCTTGAACTTCAAACATCGTACGATTGGACATCAACGATATAAAAGCGGCCCTTGCGTCATCCACCCATAACCAAAGTCGAAACCGTTGACATAATTGATAACCCGGACTTATTTGCGAAGATATCGAAAATTCAGGGATCTGCAAACGTTTTGCCAATAACAGCCTGAAAGTCAAACAAGTTACTGTTCCGAACGATGAATTTCTTAACATGACCTCGAGGATATTGATTTTACACACGATGAAAAAAAATGTTTGGGGAAAAGTGTTTATGTTCCCACTCCATCATTTTGACCATTGATGTAGACACAGATTTTCGAAGATAGTGTGAATTTAACAGACTGTACTCGAAAATTCATGAACTTTGCTGACTGTTATATTTAGGCCTACTGGGGATTAGGATGGAGATCTTTAAATACCAACCAACAAAATCACGATTGAACTGAACTGGGTATACATAACTTGTATAACACATACAACTTAACAGAGTACGCATACAACTTAAATAATCTGCATTGCAAAACATTTATGCAAATTTATTTACAAGTTTTCAAATCCGCGACTGTAAACTTGTTAGAACAAAGGTCCTAAAAATGTCTTTTCATAAAAAAAATATTAGCAGTCACAGATAACTTAGCTCGACACAAGACAAAAAAGATGGCCCAATTGTTAAAAGGGACGCCTCCAATGTAGATGTATCGGCCCTTCAAAACACACGCTTTGTATTGGGCAAGCACTGTTCGTTACACATACATTCTTCATACAATATTTTCCACTGTTAATAGTTATCATTTTTATTGGGTTTTCTTATGGATTTTATTGGTGGATGGGGCTCACTTGTAAATTGTACAGTGTTGTTATTCTATGTATTTACGCTAACCTTTTGGGTGTCACTGTTTGCATGATTTAATATTTTGATTTGTGTTTATTTTTCTGATTTGTTGAATTATTTTGTTCCATGCTTCTATTTCATTGATTTTTTCATACATGGTATTCTACTTTCTGGTTGTATCATTATTTTCCATTCAACTGCATTCCATTTTCCAAGTATTTTTGTCCACTTCATTTTCTTGTTTTCCCTCGAAATGTCAATAAGTTCGTCTTGTTATATCTGTTATTTACCTCTTTATTAAACTGATTTATTTTTAAAAATCAATATTTTCTTATTTAGTCAATTTTATTCATTTATTGTTTAAACTTGTTTATTTCGCTTAAATCTACATGTATACAGAAATTCCTTTTGTTATGGTTTATATCAGGGACCTTAAGAAAAGCAGACAACTGATATCATACTGATAAGGTTATGCTGTCGAAATTAAACAGTTAACAATAACAATACCGCATCACTTCATTTTAATTAACATTTCAAACAGCAAATGTGAATACAAAACAAATCAACCATGCAACAGCATTAAGCAGAAATGCCAGTTGCTCTTAAAGCAATGCATTCGCCTCAGATTAATTGCTCTTACTTTGATCACAAGGCATAATTGCTATTCAGGTCAAATGCTCCCACTGTACATTATGGAGGCTATCTTTGTTCCACTAAGCCATTTGGTGGCAAATCTTGCGAATAAGCTTTACGTGAGATTTAGAATTTTTCCAAAAAATTTCGCAAAAAATAGTACGGTGCTCAATTTATTCATTAAAGCAAGCAGGGGTGCCCACTGCCTAGATGCTACACCAGCACATTTTCTATTGTACTATAAAGGCAGACAGAATACTGTAAAACATATCCTTGCATGAGTTCATCTAAGTCCAAAAACTAGTACCTGTAAATGGAAAAATGGTTCATGTGAAAAAAAGGACTGATTTGCAGGAACACCATGTCATGCCCTGGTACATTTTGCCAAATATTTGATGCAACAAAAATTTCTCTCTCCAAATATGCAATTAAACGGCAGTTTGAATGTGCTTTTCAAGAAGTAAATGTACTATAAACATATGTACAAGTAGAGTAGACCAATAAGTATCATGGGATATCACGAACATGTACACTCTTCAACTCTTTCCATAAAATACTTCAGTGATTTTAAACAGGTGATGTAACTGGCATTACAATGTCTGCGCCTGACCGTACATTTTGGTTAATAAATATGGCAGCAAATGGCTTCACATACACTTTTTTGTGTTCAGCTACTATTAAGTACAGTGATAGAGAGCACACACTTATTTATATTTACAAGGCTCATGTTATACAAACGGACAGTTGGTGTTACAACAGACAAAAAAATGTTAGTTAACCAGCTAGAACCATTATGGGTGTTGAATTGACCGTTTGAAAGCAGGCCCTGGGGGGATGATTTCATTTCTCTGCTGAACGGAGCTACTCACATGAAAATAATTGTATGAACCTGACAAATCGCAAGAGCTGCAGCTCAGCCGAGGGTAAAATGTGAGGGACAATGCTATTTTCACAAAAAAATTCAACTGCAGCTGCCCACATGTGACTGAATTACACGTGTGCATTGTTAAAAAGCACTTGACTAGTGGTCAAACTAATTATTGGCACCAGAACTAGCTTGTAATTTATGGGGACATTCCTTTGTTTGTGTAGTAAATAAACTTGTAGAAAAATACATCTTCTCTTTTTTTTAAGCAGTGTGAGCACTCTTTTGAGGTGGATTTTTTATGGTTTCCTTGATCGTTCCTCTTCCTTTCGATATCGAAACCCCAAGTCTCTAAAAACTCTTTCCAGGAAAGGGGAAACTTTGTGTGGATCTGGCTCGGTCCAAACAAGGTATGCACAAGTTGCACTGTGTGGACCTAGATTGGTCCAAACAAGGTATAAACAAGCTGCACTGTGTGGACCTGGCTCAGTCCAAACAAGGTATACACAAGCTGCACTGTGTGGACCTGGCTCGGTCCAAACAAGGTATGCACAAGTTGCACTGTGTGGACCTAGATTGGTCCAAACAAGGTATACACAAGCTGCACTGTGTGGACCTGGCTCAGTCCAAACAAGGTATACACAAGCTGCACTGTGTGGACCTGGCTTGGTCCACACAAGGTATACACAAGCTGCACTGTGTGGACCTAGATTGGTCCAAACAAGGTATACACAAGCTGCTCTATGTGGACCTAGATTGGTCCAAACAAGGTATACACAAGTTGCACTATGTGGACCTAGATTGGTCCAAACAAGGTATACACAAGCTGCACAGTGTGGACCTGGCTTGGTCCACACAAGGTATACACAAGCTGCATTGTGTGGACCTGGCTTGGTCAACACAAGGTATACACAAGCTGCACTGTGTGGACCTGGCTCGGTCAACACAAGGTATACACAAGCTGCACTGTGTGGACCTGGCTCCGTCCACACATGGTATACACAAACTGCATTGTGTGGACCTGGCTTGGTCCAAACAAGGTATACACAAGCTGCACTGTGTGGACCTCTTTTGATCAACAGTCTACACTAGGTTTGTACGGCACACTCCCATTACAGTCTGCTTACACTAAAGTATGTAGAGTCAGATATTCAGCACTTCCTTAACGGATAGACATTTTAACCAGGGGCATATTCCAAACACCACTGACGACGCACAATATTGGGACCAAAGAAACATGAGAAAGGCATGGGTACTGGACGAGTACCGATGCCACAATCCTCCTGGTGACCTTGAAGGAGTTTATGAAAGCACTCCATTGGCATGGTGCTGGTTTGTGGTCCTGGGCCCTCCCTGTGGCATGCCAGGAGCCAGCTCCAGGGTTCGCTTCAGCTCACTGTACGACCAATGCAGCTGCTTAACTTCCTCCAGGTGGCGCTGTTTGGCCTCGTCTAATTCCTGGAGAAGATGGTCGTTGGTAGTAACCAGGGACCTGTCACAGGGATAAAAGTATCACACAGTGATTGGATAAAACAGCCGCCTTCTCTGCTATGTGAGGGGTAGTTGCAATATTGACAATTACCCAGTGCTGCAGTCAGTCCATCACACGTTCCCATAAATCCATCATCAGTGTCATTCCACGTACATGTATAAGGAGAAATGTTTCACTTCAGTGTTGACTCCATTCATTCATAAATAAAAAATTAGGTTTTCAAAAAATGAAAGTAGAAATGATTATTTTATAACTAAAAAGTTTTCAAAAAGCGAACGTGAAAGAAAAATGATATTTTTATAAAGTCCGTATTACCTTCGATTTCCACTTGCGTATTAAAAACCTGTCTCTTTACTAATTATGCAAAAATGATGAGCTTAGTAACAGAATGGCACATTTCCACTTTAGTGCAGAATTGTCCATAAATCATCCAGTATCAAGAGGAGTTATCAGCTGTTGCAATGAATTGGGGTGACAAACGCATTCTGTTTATTGCCAGTGTTGTAGTCAAGACAATCACAAGACCATTTGCATGCCAAGGCACAAGTAACAGGGAGAAAAATGATAAAGCAATGCTTATGTCACAGCTCATTTGAATACCTTGTGACTTGATTCAGACTCGAGGTCTTGTATTGGTCTCATAGTGGTCTCAATACTACAAGACTGTCACTGTTAACCCCCTTTTACTGGTAACAGAAAAAGTGAACTGACTCGTGATAGACTTTTAATGGAATTGGCTATAATGCAATTTGACAACCAGAATTAGAAGCCATTACTGCGGTGGCGCAAGACTCGTGGACAGGTGGTACACGCGCGCATTACGTGCCTGGTCGACCAATAGTGTGTTGTGATTTGCAATTGCGCACATCAAGCTGCAGAACATGCGTGCAAGTGCAGTGCGACAGCACTTATGGGTGTCTAATCAGATTAGTTGACATAAGGGAGCATCTCAAAATTCAGAACGATCGGAATGTTCCCACTGGAACGCCGTGTTCTTATTCCGGAACGGTCGGCCATTCTGTTGGGAATGTGACGTTCCACACAGAACGCTGTGTTCCCTTGTGAGAATGGTCCAACGGGACACGCGTTCCGATCGGAATTTCCCCATTCGGGTAGCTTGATATTGCCCATGTACGAATCTTTACTTAGCCCATGTCCAAACAAGGAGCCTGCCATGAAAAACGAGCACAGGTAAACTACTTTGCTTTTAGGATGGCCTCATTTTGAATAAGAATTGGAAGTAAACTGAAGATGGAAATGTGATGGGGTAAAATTTGTTAATGTGATGATGGAAATTTTGTTTTTAACCGAGATACAAAAGTGAAAATCACTACGTGCTCACATCATGCAGAGTACATGTATTTGTCGGTGTGTGTATCACTGGGCTATAGGCTGCAATGCAAACATCAAGCTTAGTTCCCTTAGTCATGTTGTTAAACCTTTCCGTGATACTTGAAGACCTCACCCTGCACCCCTTCAACTACAGGTTAGGTTTTTTAATTCTTTCTGATATGATGGAATACTTATGCACGTGGGAACATTGCCAGCATTTCAGTGGGAACGTTCGAACAGAAGGGGAACGTTCCCGATTTTTGAGACGCTCCCCTAGAGTGTATATCCCTTAATTAAACCTTTACAATACAATGCATTTGGTAATGCACAGGTCTATCGAGACTCCCATTGGCTGGTGCCAATCCAAGCCTTTCTCTTAACCACTTTCTGCCAGGTGGATTTTTCTTGAGCAAGACAAGATGCCAGCTCATTTATAAGATTTTCCGTTTTCAAAATTCTTTGAAAATTCTTCATTTCAGTTAATAGCCATTTATACCAAAATGACTCCTGAATATTTCAGCCAGGCCTGCAGCCTTGGAGAAAGAGCCCAGATTGTGCGGTGTTACATAAGATTCTTTTGTCCAGAAACCAGCACAG